CCCTCCCTCCCATACCCTACCAACTGCCGTATCTTTGATATTGTGTTTAACTATATCCACCACTCTGGAAGATTTGACCAATCTCAATAATGTTATGCTAGGTATTGGTGCGCCAGCCACTTTCATTTTATGTTTATGTTATACTTTATGTCTTCTCTATGTTACATTTGTATTATGTTTTATGAGCAGCGGATTTACATAAGCACAACAAGGGCTTCCTATCCAATGCTCAAAAATCCATGTGAATAAATAAAATAAAAAATGATGACGAAAACGTGCGCTAAAATCGACAATAAACACCAATATCATACAGAACTCTTCATTCAGAATATTTGTTTTTGTTTTCTCGTCCTAAATTGCACTGGATGCCCGTAATCTAGTCATGTCTTTTTCATGTTTCTCAGCATCAGGGATTGCAAGGGATCATTTTCTAAATGTCCACATCAATAATCATCAGTCCCCAAGAGCATGATTAGTTTGATGATTTACATATCAAAGATTTAATCGTTTCAGCAGATAATGGAAAATTGATGAAACCCATTTTCCTGCATGGAGAAAACGATATGGTTGATTGGCTGTAACATCATTCATCATCATAAGAAAAATCTATCTTCATGATGTTTCCGAACTCACTGGACACTGCAATTTTCTTCTTTCTCATTTGATATGTTAACCTGAGGAAAAAAATACTGATTTTGCTACGATTCCTCTTCTACTTCTTCTCCAAACCAAAAAAGGTCAATGACCTGAACTGAACTAGACTGTCTGTTACCATGGTAACTAGTGTAAGATTACATCATGTTGCAATTTTATAGCAAGAGGGATTTAGACTCCTGTCTGACCATATGCGAAGGTAAACATTATGCATTTGTTTTGTAAATGTTACCTTTCTAGTTTTTCTCTTTTTTGAAATTTTGTCTGTATAACGTTCTGATGGAAACGTTTCCGTTTATTGTGTAAATGGTTTTCATTTTATTTCATTGGTCGTATTTGCTATGCAATTGCTCTTTTTACTTCCTTCTTTTACAGGCAGTCTTCAAAATGTCCAGGTACGTGACCAGTGGCCTAATCTACAATGGTTTGAATATAATATAACCGTAAAAACGCCTACGCCCGTAATTTGTCTGCTGTGTCTGTTATCACAGAATTGTTACCTCCGTGCTTGGAGGTTATGTTTTCGGTGTACATTTTTGTATGTTTCTGTTCCCTTGGTTATTATCGCATGCTAGGCACTTCGGGGACACTGACAGGAAGCTAGTTCAAAGGTCCCAGAAAGGTTATCTCATTTCCTGCCTTCAGTTTCCTGTCTGATGCTGTTGAGAGGCTGGGGAACATGCATCAAATGGCTCAATTTTTACACATGCACTTCGAGGACACTGACAGGAAGTTAGGTCAAAGGTCCCAAAAAGGTTGTCTCATTTCCTGCGTTCAGTTTCCTGTCTGATGCTGTTGAGAGACTGGGGGAAATGTATCGAATGACCCAATGAGAATTATCAACAAAAAAAATTGCATACAAAAAAAAAATCTTTAAGTACATCACGGCTTATGAAGTCTTAAGATTTCTTATTTGGGATGTGTAGAATACTGTCTATATGGAATATGCTTATGTCGTTTATAGGCATGATTACATGATGGAAGAACATCACATTTGCATGCATGAGGCATACACTAACTAACATACCTCCGAAGAAGAAAATTGCAAACTAATTAACACTCAAGGAGGATCGTATGGAACCTCAGACATAATTGGTTTCCTATTAGACAAGGCTAGATAATTGCTTTGGTAGCAAAATGTTTTTCCATAAGGTACTTTTCATTTCAGAGTATTTTCAAGTAATCTTTCAATTTAGTTATCTGCAGATACGGTGACATTTATCGCTTCAAGGTCTATACAAACTTCTTATTTCTTTGCTCACATGTCTTAGAAATAATTGAATATAAAAGCAAGGCTTTAAAAAGTTATAAAAGCAAAGTAGGAAGGTTTAGACCCTACCTGTTCCTTCTAGCCCTATGGTCTCCAAACTGGACCAAACGTTTCAAGACAAAAAAAGGATTTTCAAAGATATTAACTAGGGACTACAATCGTTCTCATTTTTTTGCCCTCCGCTGTGCAAAGCAACTGTGACGTCTGCCCTGTACGTAGGAGAAACTACCCGTTGCCATCTGTCCCATGTGTGCTCAGCACTGCAGGACATATGCTAAGTGAATTACGCCTTGAAAGTTCTCCTAACCTATTCATCACACGGGCTATCGGCGAGGTACTCAACAGGGAGAGGGAGATGATTTCATCGCAGGGAATTCTCTAACACGATTTGCCCCACCAATGAAGAACTGCGCATCGGTGCATAACTCTAACGTTGTCACTTTCGTTAATTTCCGTTGTGGTTTGAATATCGTGCAGTGATGTATCATTATATTGAATATGATGCGTGGAGCTTAACACAAGCCGTGCAGACTTACGATGAAGACATGATCATCTAACGTCACACAACAATTCTGACTCAATTTCCCGATCCCAACGGGTTTCTTATCAAATATTTGCAGTATTTCATGCCCAAGAATGTCAATATGCCCTACAGCAAATGCGATTTAAATCCACAGCACATCTATAATATGTCCATTTGGGGATCATCTGACGGCTCTCTATATATTTGCTATTTTTCAACTACATGTCCTCTGGGTAGCGAGTCCAGGACAAACTTTACAGTTGAGGTGTTCAAGTTTGACTGCATATTTCTAAAATTATGATTCATCTGCTAAGAATTATGCGATGCAATGTTCAATGATTGCCGTTAGTATAATCTTCGTAACTTATACGTACCGCTATAATGTTGATTTATATGCAAGGAGCAGATATGATAGACGGCGAAGGCGGTAAAGGTGTTTTTCTTGGTGCTTGTATATGTTAGGTCATACATTCGCTTGAAGGGCAGCTATTCATCAGCACTTAATGGAGATAGGGTGAAGGCACATATCATTCCTTCTGGGTGCCGTTTTTATACCATTAGGCCGCACCAATTTAACGTCTTGGTTCTCGGAATCGCCCGCTTCATGTTTTGGCGACGTCTCAGGGAGGAGTCTAATGGTACAGTATTGTGTGCAGTTTGCAAGAATTCTAGGAATTGTACAGATTTTTTTCCACAGGAATGGAATGTCCACAGGCATGTCTCTGACCCACATCTATGCCCACATTCCTGGAAACCCTTGGGAAGACCTCTCTGCCACGGATGGCCCTACTTTCTGTGACCCCGGGGCTCGTTCACTATACACTCAGGGGAGGAGTGCACTGTATCTGTCTAGACTTAACAGGTACCAAGTCTTTCTCAAAGTCATGAAATGATGGCAGTGCCATGCAAACAATAACCCTAACACCAACCACCGTCGCTATGACCATGTATGCTTTCATTGCCAGTCTTGTTACATTTTTCTTTTACTGGTTTAGCTATAAAAAAGACAGGCAGGGTTGCCCAACTACTTACAATACTATTTTGTAATAGTGTAACGGAAATGAAAAGAAACATACAGTGGGGGTCGCTGGAAGACAGACGAAAATTGTCCAGACTATGCATGATGTACAAAATGACTAATAAACTAAAAAGCATGTTTTCTTTTCTGATTAAAAAATGTCCATGTACCATTTAGGTTCTAATTATGAGGAAATCCCAATAATACCCATATTTTTTCACCAACATCTGAAAAAAAAATCTTGTCTTCCTAGTTGTTATATGTGTTACTGGTTTTCCGTCGATCAGTAATTCAAAAATATCTTTGCATGAACAATCATATTACATCTCTAGTAGCAGTATGAGTATTTCTATACATGTGTTTTTTCAATTAAACGTTATCAACACTTGCAGTGTAATCTATATCTAATGCTTAGTATTGATTTTTTATTTACCTTATCGCAAGTGCTGATTATTATCACAAGTGATAATTATACATGGAATCACGTTCATGATATGATGTATGGTTTTTATCAACTGTCATAAATCTGTTTAACCATATCTTGACAGAATAGTCTACGCTAATTGTTTTGACATAAGCAATTGATTGATGCAGAATCTACGTGTATCGTGTGTATAGGGAGAGTGGTAAACCCGCCCAGTGCAATGCAATATTGTTAATCCTACTTTAATCGGTGCAATAGCTCAATTGGTAGAGTGCTCGCTTTGTAACCAGGAGGTCGTGATTTCAAACCCCGGCCGGGTCATACCAAAAACTTTAAAAATGGTACACACTTCTGTCTCTGCTTAGCACTCGGCACATATGAGAAAGAGTGTGGGAAGGTCAAACACACAGCACTACCAGCGGACTAGTCCCTTGCTGTGGTGCCTTGCACAACTGTGTGTCGCCCAAGGGCTACGGAAATGTAGATGGGCATCACCTTACGCTCTGCATAAGAGCACGGGAGACCTTCTTCTACTGTAACAGCTACTTTAAAGCGGTTGTTTTTTTTTTCAACCTTACCATCGGTTGATTAGAAGGTCTGTTCTCCCAATAACATTGCAATCACAATCAAATGAGATTCTTTATGTAGTACTACATAACCAATACCGGCACCATCGCTATATTATCCTAGGGCAACATAGCAAGACGTTTATTGCAAAGAACCTTAAGGGCTAGTATGAAATTAACAAAATGGTATACGACATGATAAAATTAAAACGCGAACCCATCCTAATTTCATTTAATAACAACACGATGCCTTCATGGCAGAAAGTGCACAGAGTAGAAACGAGATGCAAATGTAGTAAGGTAACATTTTTGTCACCTTGAGTGCCTAATTGTCCCATAAGTATGAACATTAGCCAATGAGATAGCATAACAACAACGCGCTGAAAATATTTCTAATGAAGCATCACAGGCAGATGGCGCGCGTTCAATTTTCCAAACACAATCACAAACACAAACATACAAACACAACTATCGTATAGCAAATTCTTATCCATTTGTCGATGGAATAATAGATGACGGGGCAAAGACAGAAGAAGGTAACTTACCGATGTTTTGCTTGTACATGACGTTCAGTTCTTGCTTCCACGTTCTTGCTTTCTCTGGTTTTCAGAAGCCGTGTCAGATTCCGTCACCAATCTCTGTCCCTCTAGTTCACACTGCGGCCTATCCTGTAGTCATTTCGAGCACAATGCCTGTGACGACGATCATCCATCTAATGTTACCATAAACTACCGCATTTTTCTTTTCTCGGCGGGAAAAGGAAAGCGTCAAAAGTTGCAGTTGCCGTAAATTCGCCGCCTACTCTTCTCAGATAACGCACTCTGTTGACGAGAAGGTTTGGACACCGGAACACTCACAGCACCCAGCTGTCAGCCTGGCAGTTCTGGTAATCACCAACATCTCCAAGTCTGTGGAATTCTTACATCGGCAGCAGGAAAACATGCCTCGGGTAACGCAGAGACCCCCTGGCGTGTACAGTTATTGCATTCCACGCACTTATTACGATCGCTGAAGGATTTTGTATCCATAAATTGATCTTCAGCTACTAATATAAGAAGAAAAAAAGCAGGGGGATAAGATTGTTTCGTCCTTAGGTCAGTTCTTTGGAATCCCTGCGATGAGTCGTTTTCCATCCCACCCGAGTAGAAAACGATGCATGTTAGTCGTCTCTCCACCTGCCGAGTCCGGATTGTACACGCCGCAGTGCTTCAGTCACAGTACTGTTCCGGGAATTTTCCGGGAATGCCTCCACACTTTTTTCCGGGAATGTCGCCACACGTTTTTCGGGAACCTCTCCACACTTTTTGCTCTCTCCACACTATTCTCTGTACGAGTCGTTTTGTAGACCGCGAATTCTCCTTAAAAGAGTTTCAGGAGAAAATTCAGACGTATCCTTTCCTGGAATCTGTATGGACGGCACGGCGGGCGCCTCAGCGTCTGTGGTCTACAAAGTCCCGATGCCAGGAACTGTTGGAGTGGAATCTAGTGCGCGCCCCGGCTAGCTAGTTAGGCATGCTTCCTCACTCCACAAGCCGCACGAGAGACAAAGGATAAGCAGTAGAGCTTGGGTGGCTCGCGTTGGATGTGAGCCTGTGGAGGGCAAACCAAAATCATCAATATGGGTAACGTCAATACTTGGTAACAAATATGCAAATCGTTGAAATATTTGGTAACAAATATGCAAATCGTTAAAATCAAAGAAACTGGATGAACGCAGGATCGATAATTTTAACAACTGAATTATGTTGATTCTTTGTTTACGACTTTTCATTCAAATCTCACTTTCTGAACCCGTCCTCTTTCCTCTAGTACGTTCATTTACCTTCTGGATTCACACGTCCGAAGCATACTGCGTTAACCTCCTATTTTTCATACACAAGAATTAATTCGGATTTTACGGAATTCATACAAATTTTACAGAAAAATACATACGATCCATTACTTGAAAACGAGCCATCCTTACTAATTTGGTGACTTGTTAAATTCGTATGTTTCCTTGTAATGGATCTTATGTTATTTCGTACAATTCGTATGAATTCCGTAAAATTCGTATGAATGCCGTAAATTCCGTATGAATTCTCGGCACCCCTGAAGCATACATCCGGAATGCTACCGTCAAACAGATAATCAGATTATGCCTGCCCGGATAGAAAACCGATGGTTTGAATATGCCAAACCGCGAGAACTCCCAGGTAGCATAATGATTTCCCCGGGCCTGGGTAAAACTCCGGAGAAAGACGCGACACAGCCCTCGGGCCCTCCCGGGCGCCACCCTCTCCCTCCCGACCTCTGGCCTTCTTCCTGACGGACTCCATTTGTCTTGCAGATAAACCGTATCAGATGTTGACTTATTGCAACCTTTCAGCCTTTAGGAATCGCGCTATCAGCAAAACTTGCACGCCACCTTCGTCTTCCATGCTTGCACGGCGCGGGCCCGATAATTGAAACGTTGGAACTGTAATCGAAAATCAGTTTACCTGAAGGACATAGTTTTTTTCCTAACCGTTCTGGTATGCTGTTTTATTATAATTCGAAATGTCAGGTTCATTCCTGTCAGGTTCATTCCTGAAGCATATATCCTACCAATGTTAAACTTATGAAAGTTGCTTCACTTGCAGTACTGTTCCGGGAATTTTCCGGGAATGCCTGTACACTTTTTTAACGGAAATCCCTCCAAATTTTTCAGGGAATCTCTCCACACCTTTTCCAAAAATCACTTCAATTTTTTCGAGAATCTCTCCACCCTTTTTCCAAAAATCCCTAAAAAATTTTTCCGGGAATCTCTCCACACTTTTCCGGGAATCTCTCCACACTTTTTCCCGGAATGCCTCTACGCTTTTTTTCGGGTTTACTCCAAAAGGGTTGGTAGATATCATAGTTAGCACCTTTTGGAGACATTACGTCAACCTGATTTTAAAAAGGGGTTTTATTTTCAGGTATTGTTTAGGATTTTCGTTGTGTATGTTGGCATGTTTCAATCTCTTGTTAATCTGTTTTTGTATGTATGCATATGGGGCAAGGTGCCTGAATTAAAGAATAAATAGAAATAAAAATAGACATGAAACGACTGCTCTTTGTGAACGATGCGAAAAGAGCATGGTATCGTCAATTCGATTACGCACGAGACTAAATCATTGGGAATTTGATTTCCTCATTGCTGTTGCAAGCACTTATGCTTAAGCAAACCTTTATCAATATTGCCACTCAGTACATTTTTCTAATGTTGTTTACGTCAGATGAAACTATCAAAAGGCACATCATCCACTTTATTGTATGAACTTCGTTATTGCATATTCCATTCATGGTGCGTCAATAAAACATGTAGATATTCAACACACCAAATTCAATAAATTGCATGTATTGCTACGTCTCTGAGAATTACAGAAAACTATCGGTGCAGTGTAAACATGAGATATATCTTCATTCCAAATGTGAAATGTAATTTAGCGAAAGTGGCTGCAGGTAAAATGGAAAGTCATTGTGAAATGCACTGCAAAATGTACTGCGTAGTAACAAGCATATATCACAAATACACCGCACTTCCTTGTCAGTATTTTCCACTGACATTTATGTGACATTTTCTCAGAGGACATCTCTGCTCTGTACACAATTTTCTGTGGCTACCAATTTTCTACACCAAAGGCACTCTAATTTTAGGTAACATCACATTTCGTGCACCCTTATGTAATCAAATGTCATTGAAACTGAGCTGCTTTGGAAAGAGGAAGATGTTAAATTTTCCTCTAAGCAGCATAATTCACAGGTCTCTTGAGGCATGGAAAGTTTGCTAGACAATAATCACCCTGTATAAGTGCGTGCTTACATTTGTCGTACAACCTTCGTACGACAAACAGGGGCATTCGTGGATTAGTTGTGCGCCTGTCTTGTTACATGGTAGACTGGCTTGTATTCTTATCGGTGGTGAGTTCTGTCTACTGGTAGTGGTGTGTGTTAAGCTCCCATACAGTTTCTCAAATACTGAGTGATAAGTAGAGAAAGAGGTAAGTACCATGCATACACACTCGTACTCACACACACACTCCAAAAAACGAACGCTGCACGGCCTTGTCTTGTCTCCTGTTTGTGATATATCTTACATCGTTGACGAATCTATGACTATGTACATAGTTCTTTGAATTGTGTAAGGATTGGACTCCCCAGCCCCCTCAGCACTGATAAATCATATTAAATGTCAATAAAGGTATTTGTCTGCGCAGATGTTTTCAATTTCCATTGTTGGCAGTGTGAACTGAGTATGGTTCTGGCAGGTCAAGAGAGATTATAGCTCTTTCATATAGTTGCCAAATCATCTAAAAGTCAGACAAAAGTCTTCAATCAATGCCCCCTATAATTATTGTATGGGCACACTTGATCGCAATGTCTTAGTCAGTAAAAGGGAAAGGTAAGTGAGGGCAGCCCCATAGCCTTTTTGGGGCCGTATGGGAGTAGGTTGTTATCCACTGTTTCTTGGGCATGGTATTTGAAGGCAAAGCCCATCCCTCTCCCTCCACTGCCTTCCACCTTTTTACAAGTACCTCTCCGACCTACGTAAATATTTACGCCTAGGTGGAGTAATAGACGTCCAGGGCTCGAAATTAAAGGTGGTCACTGGCCACTAAAATTTATGCTGGGACAACCAAAAAGACACTTTGGGACATTTTTGGGACAATAGAAAAATAATCAACATCAGAATGTCAGCCCTTCTTTTTGTTTATCAGGTGCACGTCCCGGCTTTTGGATCCGGAAAAGCCCCCCCCCCCGAAATTCCTGTCTACTGTGGAATTATAGTGCACCTGGTAGTGAACATCAGCAAAATAAAGTTGACTTCAAGTTGAAGTCATACAATACTTAGAAAAACAGGTTCGGACACTTCATTCTCACTTCGGGACAATTGAAATTTATTTTTGGGACAGTGCTGGGACAATAGGAATAAAAGTTAATTTCGAGGCCTGGAAGTCGTCCAAAGTTTAGTGACATTACAGGATTCGAAGCGAGGACCGCTGGGTTCTGGGCCGAACAATATATCGTTACGCCACACGACCTCAAATACAACAGTCAGTAAAAGCACAGTGAAAAATGTTAGCAGAATATGCTTGTCCTCTATACACATAATTATTCGCTTCCTTTGGGGGATTTTAGAACCACGCTTGTCATCATATATTTGACAGGAGTTATATCGTTTATCCCACTTCTGGTTGGACTTAATGGTTTTCCAATTAACTGGACTAAAGGAACTCCAATGTGCTAAGCCGCACATTGATCAAACAAGGATCGACATCTGTAGCGCTTTTGTCACAATTACTGCAACAGTAACAGGTCCACACTGGGGTCGTGTGGCGTAAACAGTAGAGTGTTCGGCTCAGAACCAAGAGGTCTCGGGTTCGAATCCTACCATGTCGCCGATCTTATGCCCTTTTGAAAAGCACTTTTTACACGACTTTCCTCACTACACTCAGGTGGAAATGAGTACCTAGCTTCGGTTAGGGGCGTCCCTCGGATAGGACGTTAAATAGATGTCACGTGTTTGGGAGAGCCACACTCCGGGAATGTTAAAGAACTCACTGCACTTATCGAAAAGAGTATAACGTAGGGGACCTTCCCGGTGTGAGTGGTTAAAACCTTACAGTCCGGTCTTACACAGCTTGTACTTATATGTACCAAAATTATGTGTTAGACCTAAAGGCGGTTTACCGGTTATGCGAAGCAAACAAAATGCATAAGTAGTACCTCGCTACATCGCGAAACATCTGCGTCATGATTGATAAATATATCTACATCTTCAACTGAATAGAATTAAGCGGATCACACAAGGCTAAAATAGATCCATATACTTGCCTTCAGGTACGTAACTGTGGGTTACCGCATGTGCATGGTGGATTTACCAAACAAAGCTTTCTCCACGTTGTAATAAAAACAGCTTGCGAGCCTGGTAGTACCACCTGGACACCTGTCAGAGGCTCCGGCGGCTGAGCTAAGCCAAAGTGTTGGCACAATTTGCATCTAGTCCACCCGGCTATACTCAATACTCAGTTCCCCTGGCTCATGGACTCTCGTGGCACAGCTGTGGGGCAACGGGGTCCAATCCATACGGCAGCCAAATTAAGCCGACAGACCGCCTAGGGACGCTTCGCCTGCATCCGGCTTCTGTTCTACTGCCTAGTAATATCCACTACGTGACGATATTAAAGTTAGAGAGAGAGAGCACGGGCTGCTATTGATGCTACGCGTGTTTTGTGAGTGAAACAGAAATAGAAAAACAGGCCGGAGAGTTTTTGTTATGTCTTTGTATACATAATTCAAAGGGAGTACGTTTCAAGTTACGCTCTGTAAAATAGATAGGGATATATGTCCGCATGTGTAACGCACCGGAATAAAGCAGCATTTTGGCACAAGACTATCCATACTGACATAAATATAGTCTTTTCTGGGATATGGATGTCACGAAGAGAAGACACAGAACTCTATTATACGACCACATGAGTCGCGAAGAAAGACATTCGAGACTTCTTTGTGCTGTCCTGAAGATTTGGGTATCAAATTACCTACGACACAATAACTGAGAAATCAGCACCCCGGGCGGAACCACTGAG